TAATTATAACTAGGGGTCCAGGCTAATTAAATATAAAGAAGTGAATACATACTCAGCACAATATCCTCAGTGGAGTACCTCGTCATGTAGTGAACGCTGGGGTACAACCGAGGGGACTCCTTGATGCAACATTCTAGATACTTCATAGCATTTAGGTCTTCCAATGTCGGTGAACGAGATGAGCATCCAAAAATTTGAGTTAATTCGTCGTTTAATTTCCTCTAAAATTGTTTATTTACTTTAGTAGTATACGTAATTGCACAGAAGATAAATTTAACAGCGTGGGCGATAGAGACGATAAGGGATAGAGGCTATCCAATAAAACTTTGTTTTTCTCTCTTTAGTGTTGACTAACTCGATGACCAAGTGGCTAAAACTGTGTATTTTTTTATGATAACAAGTGACAGGACGAACAAATCATGCGTTCCGGTACAGTTGCAGCGCCACTCTGAGCATGAAATCACAATGATATGGAGGGTATTGCCACTGCGCCTGTCACCTTGAGACATAAGTTAACAAGTCTCATGTGCCTGTAATTTCGCCTGTACCTTTACAATTTAAAACCGGAAATAATTAAGTGGCCGTACTTCCCTAGACGAACTTTTTCACAAGGAGCTCTGCTGCTACTGAATGAGAAAGCCCCGGGTACGTCTTTTGGTAGGACTAATTAGAGAAACAACTTTTTCTAAATTAGCTCTGATCTGGGTGTTCTAGGATGTGGATTTGGTTGTTCTGATATCATAGTGTAGGGAATTCCCAATTTTGACACAGGAACTGGTGGGATTGTCTGGCACATGTGTGCATTTGCGTTTGGTTATGCTGACACTAAACCTCCACATTATAAGAAGTTCGGGATAAATAATAGGTTTACCAAAATATATTTCCATAATCGATTTTATAATAATACAAAATATGATACACATATGACAACTAAGTATTATCTCATAAATTGCATTGTTATATTTTATTTAAAAAATTGCGTTATTTATGTAATTTGCGTTATATATCATAATTTTTGAGATAAAATATAACATAATGTAACAAATATTATTAAAAATAAAAATGGAAACTTATAAAATTTTAAATTGTTTAATTTTTATAGTTGCGAATAAGAACTTACTGCAGGGTAAGACACTTGTTTTTAGATTTTAATTATCTCTACTTACCTCTATCCACCTCTTATCTCAAATTCTCGGAATTATCGACATACCTGTACATCAGTTTCATTCGCCACCCGCATTATCATAAAACTCAATGCCATTGCCGTCGTGTCATGACCCTGTGGACATTAAATCTTGTACTAATGGAGATTATTGAATGAAATATAGTAGAATAACAAAAAAAAAAATCAATTCAAAGAAAACATGCATCAACCAATCAATACAGGGTCACGGTCTGCCAATTTTAAATCATCCCAGTTGTGTATGGATAGAGTGTTGTCAGTGGCTAGCCAGTACACTACTATACACCTCTCTTCAATGGCACGTCGATGACGTAGTCTAGTAATTATTTGACATAAAAAGTACATTTAATTTAGAGACCAAATTCCAGCTTAAATTAGATAAAAATTAAGATATGCATAGTAATTTCCACGGTAGTGTTAGTAAGGAAACATCGATCGTTAGTTAGACCCTATGCACACGGCGTATTTTATACGCACAGACGACGCGTGTTTCACAAGCGCGCTTTGAACGCGCGTTTACGGGCGAAAAGCAGATTGATGCATTTGTATCGATTCAAACGCGCGTTCGAAGCGCGTTTGCTTCGAATCAAACATCGAGCCGCAAGACATTTTTTTTATTTTTAAAATCACTTAATAAAGCTAGCGTAAGTAGTCAGATCTTGTCTCGACGGACGCCATTGTACGCTTGAGAGTACGCGCTGTAAATGCCCGTTTCACAAACATGGGTGAAATGCGCGTTTACGACGCGTATGAATTTATGAACATGTGCATAAGTTTACTGGCTACAACTGAATCTCGTTTGAATCCCGTTAACGCGCGTCATTAGCGCGTCGTCAGCGCGTCCTCTGCGCGTCGACTGCGCGTATAAAATACGCCGTGTGCATAGGCCCTTAATGAATAAATGAATGCCATGACTGCCATATTATCATAATTGCAATATAATCTCAGTGCAGTATAATAATCTCAAGAAAATTTGTAGTATTGGGGTCGTCTCACTGGAAGCTCATAGCGACTGTAAAACTAATCAAAACGAAAACAAATGAGGAGCATCAAAATTGTAAATTTAGATGTTTTTAGATTTCGGTCGGTAGATTCGGTCGCACTGTGTTACATGCTTGGGCGGATGAAGAAAGCGGCGAGGGAAACATTTATTGGCGTGTGATAGTGCTAGAACGTGCGCATAAAAAAAATGCAGATATTGCCCGGTTTAAATTGCAGATATTACAAAACTTGAAACTATGATAACCTTGTGACTTTTTATGATACACGAAAAAATTTACGCAGCGATCGGTCGTTGTAAATAAGACCAGATTGTAATATTTTTCTTCAAAACAAGTGAAATTAAGTGTTGAAGTAATTAACATAAAACGAGCACTAAAAATAAACTAGCTGTCCTTAACAGTCGTCTTCATAAAGTCACAAATTCATTGAAGGGCCAATGTATACGCTTTTATAATATAATAAAATTCCGGTTGATATTCCAAATTTGCCATTCACGAGGTTTTAAACTATAACGAAACAGAAACTTTACTATACAGCTTCAGTTGGTCGATATCATGTCGATATAGAGACAACATGGCGAAATGGGGACTTATTAGCCTGACTCAAAATCATTGCGGATCCCCCACACAAACTGTGTCATATGCACTCTGTCCGACCAGTTGCACCCGCGAAGAAATGCTAAAGGCATCGGATTGGGGCATAGAGGTCACTCTTACTGGACTAAAGTAATACGTATAACATTGATATATTGTTGGTTTTTATCATTGACTCCACAAGAAGAACAAGCTTCTGTGTACTACGGATGACAAAAATCCGTGGTAGTGATCCATTTAACTCTTGCAGGTAATCTCGATCTATGATGTTTGAAATAAATATTGTAAATGATAAATGTGTAGAAATGTTTATTGACAAAGAGCAACCCGTAGAGTTTCTTGCTCATTCTTCTCAGGGGAATCTGCCTTACGAATGAGCAGTAGAGTTTAATCAATATGACGATTTCAAGTGTAGTTTGCTTACTTATGACATAAAGATTATTTGACTTTGACATTAAGTTTTGGTCCTATTTTGAATCAATGTAAAAAAATAGTTTGTCATAAAATGACTTTCAAAATCGTTGTTGATAAGGTTTGTTAATCTGAAACTGACCCGAAGCTCGAATCGAATGTCAACGTCGCATTTAGCGTTGAATCTGCATTTACAAAGTCAACACGCCATCACTGCTGGCCAAAATGTGACGGATTAGGAATTGAGCCATTTTCGTTCCGAAAATAATCAGGAAGGACTTTCTTTCACAATTAAAGCGGCTCGTTGCCTTGTCTTGGTGAAAATCAAGAGAAGGCTCAGACCACATCATTTTTATTGTAAGAAGGTAGAAAGAACAAAGTAAGGAAAAGGAAAGGCTGTAACAAAAACAATGGTATAAAAACAGGTACAATACTATAAAACACTCCCAAATTTAAATTACAATGAATATGCTTATGGATGAATATAAAGTAGACACTTGCTCCAAAAGGGCCTATATTCGTATATATATTGCAGTTAGGTTTACTTGATTGAAGGACACGTGTTTTCTCTTCGTGGATTTTGATGGGAGTGACGCTGGAACGAACCAAAGTAACAATGACGAAGAAAAACAATTAGACCAGGAACTAGTGAAAACGGTGATGAAAAGGTGGGACGACGATGAAAGAAGTCGCATCGACACAGACTTAATCTTGGTAAGGCCATAACTTAACTGTTGAAAATTAAACAGACTTAATTCTTAATACGTCAATGACAACAAAAATGTATAATGAAAAGTGACCTCAGAGCGACTAGTTTTTGTAAATCATATTTTTAATCTGTTAAAACATTAAAATAATCAGAAGTAAACAATTCTAGAAATTACTTGGTACTTGGTGTAACGGGCTGGTGTCCGCAACTCGACGTCAAGGCGCCCATTTTGCGTGTGAAATTATAAAGCTGAATGTTTCATCATTATTTTCCAACACTAGCAAGGCCTTTAGTACAAGTTAAGAGTAATAAATAAAATAATATGAAATGTCACAACTTCAAATCTTATTTTGCGTATTTCTAAAAATGTTCTATTAGTACTTTCATTGTAAAGCTGCGATATATTGGCGGTCGGTAAATCGTAAAAAAAAAACAATTTAATTAGAAAATTTAACTTCATGGTGTAATATAATCATCGAGTATATAACCAGAAATAGAGACGAAATAAGGGCCACATATTCCTGGTAACACTCATATATAGCTCTTATAAATATCAACTCTCGTTAGCACTAAAATATATACTCCAAAAAATATTCTGTATTTATTGCAATAAAGATAATATCTCTAACAATGCCGTTCTGTTCTATTCGGTGGTGTGGGAAAAACAGTAAAACATCTAATTACAAAACAAATGGAAATACATTTCTTCGGTAATTAAATATTAAATATGTAATTTTGCAATTTTCGTTCATTATAGCAAAGCTCAAGTTAACTAACTGGTCAATTTGAAGTGAAATAATTGACGACACCCGTCAATTGTTTCGAACTCGGGCTAACCAATCGGAGCGTAGTTGTCACAGTAATGAGATGGCAGAATAGTTTTCAATCAAATTAAATGACATTTCGTCTCTATTTCTGGTAATATACTCGATGAATACAATATTGAACACGTCTAATTTCATTAACTATGCCACAAATACTACAGTAGTAATGTAACACACAAAAAATACTGTGGAATCGAGAACCTCCGCCGTTTTAAGTTAGTTAAAGGAAAATGGTAAATGGAAGAAAAGGAAAAAAATAACAAAATTTTCAATTGCAAAATATATTTATAATGTATCAAAGTTTACCGGATTCGATCATATTTTTTATTTTAAATTTTTGTATTTTCCCAGACCCAGTCTTTGGGAATTCATCAATAAATTTGAGTAGACGAGGAATTTTGTACCGGGCCAGTTTCCCTGAGCAGAATTCGGAGATGTCCCGTGTTGTGATTTTCGCGCCTTCTCCGACGCGGACTACCGCGCATAGTTCTTCACCTAATCGCTCATCTGGCACACCTACAACCTGAAATAAATTAACATTTAAACTTACAAAGCCTTCGGTACACAAGTATAATATCATTGGGTACACTAACTCCAAACAGTCAATAAAGTCAAAGAACTCGTCAAGATCAATTTAATGAGCCCAAACACGATAGTTCTACTGCAAGTAGTTGAAGAGTTGGGTAATCTGCAGACTGTGCTGGTTATAGTATATTATCGTAATAGAATAAGAACATGTATGGTATATTAATTGATTTTTTTTGTGAAATACTTCCACTAGTTTTGTTATGCTTATGAATATAAAGATCGAACTAGTGTTGAGTTACTCATGCACGAGGCAGGTCGTTTGTACCACTCGCTATGGGGAACTGTGTACGTTTTTACAATAACATTCCGGAGCATATGTTTAGAATACCATTTTCCAAGTTTAATACTTACATTAAAAGTATTTTAATTGAAAAGTCATTTATTACAAAATTGTAGACTACGTGTTAGATAAAGATGTATGGAAAGACGACGTGAGTCTAGATTCCACACAAATATGATTCAAAATGTATTCCTTAGCACGTTTATCTGAATAGATCAATCCCTAGAGTGTCTTGCTCGTTCTTCTCAGGGAGGTCAGCTTAGTGAACGAGCAGTAGCTTAAAAAATGACGTTTTCAAGTGTAAAAATTTTACCCGTGGAATAAATGATTATTTGATATTTACTTTGACTTTCGCTTGGCTAGTTTGTCACAACACCTCTAGTCATAAAAATGTCCCTCCTTACACCCTACCTCACATCACAGCCTCACTCACGTCACACTGCTTCGATAAATGCAACAATGGTTGGTCCTGCACTGTCCGCTTTTTAGCTGATTTTACATCATATGGTCATACTACCATAGTACTAAATAAAATTAGTATTTATGTATACCATATCATAACACTTAAGTTATCCAATTGATTGATACCATCAAGTTATGAAACTGTGCTTAATATTACCTATCTGTTGAGTCATTGCCGTAGGCAAACATTCTTACCACTACCTAACTAATATGAGGTATTCCCTCAAATTCATTTTAATTTCATGTCCTACCCAACACTAGATCGAACACACAGAAAAATTTTTCGTCGACCCGGTGGGACTTGATCCCAAGTCCATGCTGCACAGTAGCATTGCTTTTTACCAGCTAAGCTACGAGTCCAGTTACCGAGCTGTCGAAATTCTCCTATGTGTTTTTTTGTTATAGATCTTTGTACTGGCTTTCGGCATTAGTCGCCGCTAGTGACATCTAGTTAGAGATTTTTGAATAGCCTCACCGCAGCCGATACCTTTACTTTAATACAACTGACGCAGATGTCGCTTTACGATCAAATGTATTTATTCAGATATTTTGTTAAATAACTCCACTAGTTTTGTAATGATTATGAATACAAAGATTGAAAACACAGAAAAATTTTTCGTCAACCAGGTGGGACTTGACTTGGTGGGTTAAAACCGGAACACAGTAATGCTGACATTACAGCTTGGCGGCAGAAATAGGTAAGGCGGCAGTACTACTCTTGACGAACCCCTTCGCAAGGAGTTCTACTGCTGCTGATGTCTCTTATCTCTTAGAACGACTTATCCTTTCTATTACAATAAGGTAATAAAACCATTAACACTTATTTTACTTAAAACGTAACTTAATGACTTAATGAACTGATTAATCTTGGTCCATCGTACGAGTCACAACACTACGAAAAATTCGTTCAATCCGGCTGTATTCGAACCAGTATCAAGCAGATCTGCAACATGTACATAGAAAAGTTCGTAAGGTATACTGGTCCATTCCGTAGTTCAGTTGGCAGAGCGTCAGGCACAGTATGCTGAAGGCGCTGGTTCGAATCTAAACGGAGCGAAGGAATTTTTCTTACTGCTAGCTCTTTGTATTAATAATTATAAGAAAGCAGTGGAGTAATTTCACAAAAAAACATGGCAGTAAAACATCGTCATATTTTTTTACGTGTGGCGCACCCTGTGTAATTAAATAAAAAAGATAAATTATAGTAGCAGTAGAGCTCCTTGTGAAAGAGTTCGTCCAGGGAAGTACTGCCACCTTACCTATTTCTGCCGTCAAGCAGTAATGTGAGCATTACTGTGTTCCGGTTTTGAAGGGTAAGGGTGCTGGTGAAATTATAGGTACATGGGACTTATCAACTTATGTTTCAGGGTGACGAGCGCAGAAGTAGTGCGCCTCAGATCTTTGCGATTTAAAGAGCTGATTGGACCTCAACTGTTATAAACAGGCGTGTAGCTTACCATCAGGCGCACGACTTGTTCGTCCCGTCGCTTGCTATTATATTAAAAAAAAACAATCGGCGAGTACCTTACGCCGATTGGCAAATCTTTTCACCACAGTAGCAAGCATTATAGTGCACGATAAGAAGAAGATCGTTATATTCAATAACTTAATATCTCGTTCCAATTTTACCTGACTTTCAATGATATCGGGATGAGTAATGAGCAAGTCTTCAATTTCCTTGGGCGCGATATTCTCCCCTCCTCTCACGATTATATCCTTTAGCCTGCCCACGATCCTGCCGTAGCCATCTGCGCTTATTGTGAACTTGTCTCTGGTGGAAAATATCATGAAATGTATCGTGAAATGTGTTCATACGTAAAACCTATCATGAAATGTTCATACCGAAATGTCGGGAGTAGTTGATTGTCTTATGTTAATTGACTTTGCGGAATTGTATCGGAATGGAAAGGAATTTTTGTAACCATAACATAATGTTATTTATATCAATTGTATAGCGTACAAATTAGATTCGACCCAAAAAACTGACGGCGTGTCTTCTCGAGAATTCTCACGCAGTCTCGGGAATTCCTGCAGGTATCGTATTGTACCTATCTAGTTTGTACGTTCTCATTCTCTCAATTGATATAAAGTTCATTATGCCACGTACAATGTCGTTACAAAAATTCACTTCGGCAATCGTGCCTTAGGGCGCGTTCCCACTATGACGTAACGTTTTATTTGTCGTTGAACGATTGTTGCATCTAGCCTGTTTCCATATGACTCTCTGTCGTGACTGTGTCGTGGACGTTTATTTTATCGTTGAACGACTGTCGTGTCTAGCTGTTCCCACTAGATCGTGACGACAATTTATCGATTCATGGCAGCCGTTTTGTCGTTTGCACGACAGAATCGTTTAAAACTGCAATTATCTGTCGTCACATTTTTGTCGTGACGTTTTATTTATCGTCAGAGGACTGTCGTTCTAGTTCTTCTCATTGGCACGATACTCTGTTGTCGTAACGTTAAAAAAGTCGTGAACGACAGTTAACCGCCTTGTTCTATGTATTTAAACTGCACAACTATCTGTCATCACGTCATAATGGGAACGCGTCCTTAAGGTCATCACGCGTCATTTAAATTTTCTTCACTTCATTAAATTTTTAACTTGCACTTGACCTAGATATGTAATTTTGTTAAATTTTATGTGTCCAATTTACCCCTTTTACCAGTAACATTTAAGCTGTTTAACAGTTAAAATACTACGAAAAGGGTTTATGTTATTCTTTTGCTTAGTTTCTTGAATACATTAAAGCTTTATCGCCCTTTACGGCATTAATAAAAGAAATAAAAATAAAATGTTTCTTTATTTAGGTACACAATAATTGAGGTGTAAGTACTTGTAGACAAAAGATAAGAGCAATATTTCTAGTCATCCTTATCAAACCTCTCTGCCTCCATTTATTTATTAGATGTATCATATGAGGGGTAATAATATAAAATAAAAAATATGTAGATAAAAATAATTGGAAATTTTTGTTATTATGAATATAACAAATACGCCGAGAGTCATTTTCAAAGTAAGTTGAATGTATTATGGTAACATTTTTTATAGTTCATCTGCCATTGCTGGGCACGGGTCTCCTCTCAGGCGAGAATTTAAACTATGTCCGCCACGCTAATTGTGTAGGTTTCACCACGATGTTTTCCTTCATTGAAAAGCTCATGGTAAAATTAAAATTAAATTTCGCATATAATTTATGAGAAACTCTCGCGAGTCTGGAACCCACGGCCTCTGCTTGTGACGTCAAACCATTATGCTATCACGACAACAATTTTATAGTTAATATGGTAACATTTTGAGACAATGCTCACCCCGTTTTTAGCCAGCCATCTTTGTCTATGGTGTCTCTGGTCTTTTGCGGTTCATCCCAGTAACAGATCATATTGTTGTACCCTCGGGAGACAAGCTCCCCAGGCTCTCCAAATGGCACAGTCACTCCGTTGTCGTCTATCACCTTCACAGAAAGTGCTGTATTTAAATATGTGATTTGTTAGTGCATCCTTAGATGCACGACGGCATATTGACGTGCTATATTGTACAGAGTCAAACGCTTGTGTTGAATATGGAATTACTATAAAAAAATATTTCTTGTCTTATCATGGCTATATTGCATTATTCTTCGTTATTGATTGATTACCTGAGATATTGGCTCTTCTATCAAAGATGCATTTGCATTTGTAGCCCAAAAGAAACGTATACGCGCAATAAAGATAAAGATAAATTTATTTCAGCACAACTTAATCTAAATATAAGTAAAAAAACAAAAACAAATGTAAGGGAAGCTAATATACAATTGGTAAAAAAAAAAAACCTTAATTATTATACTAATCATAAAGCTATACAATTAATTATTAGAAGCCTACCATAGATGCGATGCCTAAACTAAGTACATTATTACCTGTATCTTAAGCATCTTGTTTGTGCACAGATTCATTATATTAGTGCTTAAAAACAAAATAGCTATATTTAATTAGGAATAAAACAATTAGCTTTTACAATATAATTATGAAATAACCAAGGAAGCAGAAGAATCTATGAGAGTGTGATGTGCGAAGTTGTTCACGAGAAGAGAAGGTATTGAGTCGTCTTTGGTAGGATGAGCACTTAGACTCAAATGGAGTGATTGAGTGTTTTTTCAAAATTATTTGCAAGATAAACAGCTGCCGCACAGAAAGGACATCGCACTCAGCTAGGAGTTTGTGGGTAGGGTAGCAGAGAGGACGGAAGTTGCTGACTTTGAGAATAGCTCTCTGCGCCTTTTCTAGGTTTAACAGTGTTGTTTTATGTACGCCGCCCCATGAAGTAATGCAGTAAAGCAGCAATGATTGACAGAGGGCCAAGTATACTGATTTGAGTAATTCACCGCTAGCCGCATGTCTTAAATTTTTAAAAACATATATTAATTTTCGAACTCTAGCAGTAAGCGCTACAACATGCTGTTTGAAATTGAGGTGTTGGTCGATTATGACACCTAAATATTTAATATTGACTGTGCTGTCCATGTTTGGACAACCACTGCCGCAAACTTGAGTCCTTGGACTGGGACAATGATGAGCTACTATTGAGAAAGTACTCTCGACAGGTTGAGAGAGGAATGAGCGACATAAGATCATAGGAATTATATAAAATACTGTTTCGCTATTTACGAAGTCTGAAGTTTGTGAAGCATCTATATCTATTCAAAAAGGGCGCATAAATATATAAAACACAAGTAGACTAGTTATAGAGCATGTACCTAACATTACACTGTAAGAGCATGTACCTAACACTACACTGTAACTTAAAACGTCCCTACTACAAATGCATGAAAAAATTTCTAAACTGCATTTTCACTTATGTGTATAGTTTGCTAAAATGAACATTTAATTTATGCAAATACCTAATTATTAAAAAAATATATAGTGTGAAGTGTGAATGAATATTTAGAACAATAATTTTGAATTATTGAAAAAGATTGTGACGTACTATTTTTTATAATTAATTGACATTTTTATTTTGTACAATTTGATGCTATCGGCGCAAAAGTGGTGAAACCCCGTGAAATACAAAAGGTGATGGGGAATTTAAAATTGACCGAACTCATTTTATATATAGTAATTATACAAGACCAATATATCATTATTAATTTTTTATACATAAAAATAGCATCCAAATATATATGTTTGTATTAGTACTGTTTTCTTTATCTTTTATAACTTTTGAAAAACTAGCAAATAAATTTTAAAATATTGTTTATGATTTTAAATACGTTATGCATTTTATTGATAATATGAATGAATTGCTTGCATTTTGTGGGCTCTGATTTTGTGCAAATGAGAATAAACCTATAATTGGAAAATAAAAACGGTTGACTTGAGTCAACCGTGACCATAGGACCTGCACAGGGCTGCAGCTTGTAAATCCAGAAAAATAGTTTCATTCCCTATGTGTAACAATCGCGAAAACCTAAGAACTCGAAATAAATATTTTTTTAAATTATGCCGTATTAGTAAGATTTTACCTTGACTTCGACGTGGTCCTGAATATAGCCAACCGTTTCAGCGACCATGTTGATACTATCGTCGGGCAAAGACTGGAATATGGACGCCGTGGACTCCGTCAGGCCGTATAAAGCCTAGAAAGTTTGATAATGTGGATTTTATTGAATATCATGATGTGATGTTTTATATTAATTATTTTTTAATACAGTTGCTCAAAACGTGATATGTTTCGTATCGTGCCGAAAGTTGGATTTTTCCCACTAGTGCTTTTTACTTTTCCATTTTTTTTTTAATTTACTGTTGTTTCAAGTCTTAAGCATAGAACTAAAGAGGTTGTATATTTATTTAAAATTTATATGTTTTGTGACGTAAGTCATTCGTCATTAAAACTTGTATTTACTTACAAACATCTTATTTATTTAAACTGCACATGTGTTTTATAAAACAACGGGTTACATTAAAAATACCAAATTATTTTCCATAAAGATGGCTGATTGAGTATTAACAATGTCCGGAGGTGAGTATTACGCGAGATCGCTGCGCGCCGCGCCACTAAAATAGTAATTTTAATGCGGCTGAATACTGGCAACAGTTGCCATTGTACTCTGAATTTTTTAACAGACAAAGAATTAAAATGAGTTTTGTTTTTTAATACTATTTTATTTTATTTTTTTATTTTTTTCGCAAATGTATTAAAAAACTTACTTAAACACTTGCGGATTTGTCATTTTCAATTGTCTCGAGTCTTGGAGAAGCCTCGAGACTCGTTTATAATGACTAACTTCCGCACTTGTATCAAAAATAAATATTTTTGTGAAATTACTCCACTAGTTCGTTATAACGTCCCATAATATGGACTAGTCACATTATGCCTGTAATTATGTAATGTAAATCCGGATTATTATGTATATGTAATGAGTATGATACTGACCAGAACAGATTTAACATTGAATTCGTACTGTATGTCCTTTATGAGCTTCGGGCTGCAAGGCGCTCCACCTGCAAGCACCACGCGCAAGCTATTCGGTTTGAGGCCCTTTCTTCGACTTTGTGATAGCAGATCCAGGTGCATTGTGGGTGTGCCTGTTAACGCTGTACAGCTGGAAAGTGGATAATCACAATCTAAGTTACATTAGATAATGTTTGAAATAACTTTGAATTATTTTACGATTACTTTTTACGTCGTTTGGAATTCAGTCCATACTACTCGTAATAATATTTAAAAGTTTTCAAAGTCAAAGAAATGGGAATAAATTGTATTTAAAAAAGGTAAAGATTAAAACTTAAAATTTAATTAATATATTTTATATAAATTAAAATTAATACGGATATAAATTTTGTTTTTTCAAACAAACCAAAAAAACGACGACTTAAAAAAATAAATTACCGGACGCCGTAAAAGCATTAAGAGTGGTTACACCCGACGACAGATTATAATGTATAGGCGATTGCATCGATGCAAACGCGCGACTGCATCGTTGTAAACGCGCGACTGCATCGATACAAAAACGCGATTGCTTCGATGCAGGCGCTTATAAAGCCCAAGTCTAGGGTTGCAATCGCGCGTTTCTATGGATGCAGTCGCGCGCTCGCATCGCGTTTGTATCGCTGTTTGAAATCGCGCGTGTGTATAAAGGTAAACGATTAGCGACTGCATCGCTACTGCATGGCGTTTGCATCACGTTTGTATCGCTGCTAAAAGCCGCCGTGTGTAACCTTCTTAATTGTAGACAATTTATAATGAAATTGCATAATTTGTTAGAGCTACTCAATTCTATTACGTACAATATTGATGATTTTTTACTTGATGATATATATAATATAATATGTAAGATTTTAATAACGTTTGATATATTTTTATCACTTATAAGGAAATTAATTCACACTTAATTCAACACTGGATAGGTAAAATGTATAACGTGCATTTGGAAAATATTACAGGAGAGCGATTCAAAGTAATTTTTTTAAGAAAAAAATTAACTCAAATTTTATTTGTCATATCGAAAAGCTGAAACTTTCTAATTTTCCATATAACAAATATTTTTCTTTTTCTTGAAATTAAATCGCTATCTTACAATATTTTCCAAACGCACGTTAGACGTTTTACCATTCCACTGTCGAATTAATTTCCTTACTTTTTAATTCTTTTGTTTTTAATTATTACTTATGTTATTGTATAAATTTTATTTTAAATGCATACTATATAAAAAATGAAATATAAAATGTGTATTATATTCGCTTATCAGATTTTGGTAAAATGTACGATCTTACATAATAAAACTTTTCGGGCTTTCTGCGGTGGTTTAATGGTAGACATTGCTGATTGATGACTTTACCGTCTTAGTGAGCTGTGACCATGGGACCAGTATAGAGCCCGATACGTTGGTTTGTTTGGAAAAACAAATACACTCTATTTAGATCGGAAAAAAAGTTTTGCAGATGTGACTTTATTACATAAAGAGTACGATTTTAAACTTACTAATTTTTTAAAGTATTATATTACTAGGCTCGTAGGCACTTACTTTTCAGCAATGATGGCGTTTAAATTGGCCGCAACATTATATGTTGGAGCTCCCAAAACCAGAGTGGCACCGTATGTTAATCCTGCAATCGTAGTGATCACAGATGCCAGTGCGTGGAACAATGGAGCCTGTATAAGTATGTCCTTCGTCAATCTATTATAACCACTTTATATGTATGTACTTTCAGCGGAAAAAAATCTGTGTAGTCAGTTCATTTGAATCAGGCAATTATGCCC